TCACTTAGGGACGATGAAATAACTTATTTCGTTAAAAAATTTCAGAATGTGATGAGAAATAGGACAAAACTTCAAGAACGAAAAAGTGGATTCCCTTGTAAATTCTTGAAAGATAATCGTGAAGAGAGTGACTCTAGAACTACTAATAAGAAAACTCAATATGTTAGATGCTATGAGTGTCAGGGTTACAGTCACTATAGGAATGAATGTCATAACTTGAAAAAGAGTTCTAATAATGGTAGACGTAGGTTTTAGCAGTGACCTTAAGTGATGATGAATCAGATTCTAGTGCTCAGTGTTATACTTCTGGTGGTGAAGATAATCAAAATTTTATGGCCTTCACATCTATAGTTAATATAGAATCTGATAAGGAAATTAATAAGATTGAAAGTGATGATGAGAGTTCATCTAAATTTTATGGCCTTCACATCCATAGCTACTATAGAATTTGATAAGGAAATTGATAAGATTGAAAATAATGGTGAGAGTGAGAAATCTGAGGATGAACCTGACATTTACGAATCTTATTGTGAATTATTGAGAAGAGTCTTAAAATTAAAAAGAGAGAAACTCATAGGTGCCCTTCAGGACGCTACCAAAAGACTGAGTGAGATAAAGCTTGTTAACGAAAATCTGGAAGCCAAAATTAAATCATTAACAAATGATCTTGAAAAATCCAGTACTCAACACCATTAATTCATGAGTGGCTCGCAGAAGCTTGACAATCTGTTGGGAAAGAACAAGCCTGCTGGAGATAGGCATGGTCTGTATTATGTTCATAATGTTATTACTACTGCCAGTACGTCTGAGACCACGTTCGTTCCAGCCACTAACAAAGCTAGAAAAATTGTTTACCCGAACCAAAGGGTAAAAATGACTTAGGATCGAGACATACTAGACAACAGAGGGTAAATCGTCATATTTATCGGCAATAACCACCGAACAAGGTTGATTCTAGGTTTATTCCCACATTGTGGTGCACTGAGAGATACAAGACCTAGGTGTCGTAAACTCGTGACTAGAAGTAAAAGTCAGGATATCTCGACCACGATTAACTTCCTCTCCAATCAGGTTAGCAACTTAACTAAGATGATGACTCGGTTAACTAAAATCACTCATACTTCTAAGCAAGCTTGGATTAAAAAAAGTGATCAGGAAGGTCATGAGTTTGATCATGCTCTTAAATGTAAGATAATTCATGGTTCTTAGTGATTTGATCATTAAGTGCATGCATATGCAATCCATTGAGTCCATTCATTAGTGCATGCATCTCATTTATTTGTGTTTTGTTTTATTTCAGTTTGTATTTGTTTCCTTTTGATATTGATGTTTTTTAAAATTGTTTTATTTAAAAAAAAATTGAGCTCTAGACAGTTTCTGATGTTCTTCAACATTGTATGTGTAATCGAGTATGCCGTTATCAGATTTATACTGTTGTTTCTATCACTTGGTTCAGTTTTCTATAGAGCATCGAGTATATGTTTCTCCATGTACCATCTGCACAGCACACACTATGATCTTGTGAGTGACCCTGGACCGCGTGTGTGAGATTTAGGATGGCCATCACATGTTAGTGAGGTGACCTCGACCTATATCTAGAAGACCTTTCTCGTGATGAGTCTCCCTGCATTGTATGAAATGAAAAAAATACATACATGTTTGGTTCATCTTATACTTTTTGTCAAAGCTTATTTGACTCGAGCAATTAAGCTCGAGGGGTTTCTCATATCATGTGCCTATGGTCATCTGACTTGGGTTAACTGACCTAAAGCTCGTTACAGGGGTCAATTTAGTTGATTAATGGACAAGAGTCTGTACGTAAGATGTAATTTACGAGAAAAGTGTTATAAAAAATTACATGCTCATCTTCAAAGGGAGAAAATAAACTTAGTCATGTACTTGAGCTCGTTTTCAGATCCTAACATTACATTTGGGTTTGACTTTCATTAGTAGGGATCATACTTACTTAATAGTGACGTTTGCATGTCCTTTCTCACAAATTTAAGGTTTGGAGTCATTTTCACGAGAAAATAGTGGCATTTTACACGCATGAGTCACTCATACACTTTACTCCATCTTGAACCTCATTGAGTTCGTGCAAAAGTCTTTACAGATAATGTTTGACTTGTGAATGCATGCATGGTTGTGATCATCGAGTTGACAGAGTTTAATTTTTTTAATTTGATTTTTTTTAAAAGAAAAAAAGGGGGAAAGTAAAATTGCTTAATTTGTTCAATTTTAGTATTCTTTCAAAACAAACAACAACAAAAAAATAAAAATAAAAATTAGTGCTATTTTTCTTAATTTTAAAATTGAAGTGCTATTTCTGTCAATTCCATTTTCGCTAGCTTATCGCTGGAACTCGCTCGAGCAACAGCAGAAGAATTTGTCTCGCTTGCTTGTCGCTCGACCTTCGCTCAAGCGACATCCCGTTTATTTGAATTTTAACGTTATTTTCAAGGGTTTTTAACAAATTTGCACTTCTTTTCCTTCAATATCTCCCAAATTTCGCCCACCCACTTCAAAGTAGTGATTTTCTCAAATTTTAATCATCTCAAATCAATTCTTTTTGGTGGCATTTCATTGATTTCACTTCATTCAAAGGTAAATCTCGAAAACTCTTCATTTTTTTTTTGTTTTTGCATTTTTCTTGGTTCATTTTTCTTTTTGACAATTATTACTGCAATTGTTGGGCCTTACACTTCATGTTTTATGCATTCTCATACATTGTCATCTCATTTTGCACATTTTTACAACAAAAAATTGGATTTTGGGGGGGAGGGGGAGGGGGGGGGGGTTTCCCCCGAATTCTCCGTTTGTTTCATTTTTTTTGATTATTTGGTTGTTTGAGGAGTTTTGAGTGACATGGTGGGTTGGGTTCGTTGGTGGTTTGAGTTGTTGTGTTGGGTTTTGGAGTTATAAAGATGTCGCGTGTTTTCCTTCAATTTTTAGATATAGATTTTTGATGTTGTTTGAATTTGTGGTGTGTTGATTGAGAGGTTTGGGTTGGATTTAGGTTGAGTTCGAAGTATTGGTGTCGTGGTTTAAATGATTTTGGATTGGTTTTTTTTTCTCATGTCGTCTTTGGTCGTGTTAATTGTTTTGTGGTTTGTTGTTGGAGTGTCGGGTTGGTAATTCGGAGTGTGAATTGTGTTTTATGGTCTCGGTTGATGTTGGGAACACTTGGTAATGTCACGTCACTACGTCATGGCGTCACATCCCTGCATCTTGACATCACGGCACGAGTCCTGTCTTCACATCACCTATGTCTGGGCATCACTGCATGTTGTTGTGCATTCATGTTAGGGCACGTTGCATGTTACCCTATCTGCCTCATTTGCGTGCATTTATGCATCTCACGCATATCACGCATTTGTATCATTTTTATCATGGTTTTTAATGCTTTTGATGCATTTCTTTTCAGATGCCGCCTAAGAGCACAGCCACTTCCACTCCTAGTACTTCATTTTCCTATAGTAGGTCTAGGTTCGTCTCTGCGATTGCCCAAGATACATTTGGGTCGCAGTTTTCTTTACGCTCTGTTTTATTTGAGCACGAGGTCATTCTATCTGACTTGTCGCCCGATGTCTCTGCTATTTTCACTACCCGAGGATGAGAACCCTTATTGATCGAGTTGACGCCTTCCCCTAGCCTACTTATTCACGGGTTCTATTCTAGCATTCATGATGTTAGCAGTTCTTCTTTTAGGGTATTTCTTCGAGGTAAGATGATTAGGATCACTCTCGACGTCATATAGGGTCTTGTTTACATTCCTAGGGTTGTTCACCCGCTATTTTCCTATCTGACTGTTGAGACAGGAGAAGGCCGCAATACATCTCCATCATCATTCTCCCCCGAGGTTGATTAATTAGGTTAAGGAAAATATGAGGCGACTCCATTAAAGAGAGCATTAAGGATAGATGGAGTCTCTTGGATTTCACGTCATATCATCTATACCCGGACTGAGCATATCCAAGAAAGACACAAGTGGTTGCCTTGGGGACAATTTTTCTATTAACTGCGCAGGAATATGAACAAAACACGTGCATCCAAACACTCGAAAATGCCTATAGTACTGCCCCAGTAAGAAGTTCGTGAGGCTGGATGGAATGAAGCTTCTTCCCTCTCTCTTCCCCCAAAAAAAGGAGAGAGATGTCCCGTCCCTTCTTTATGCACATCCATATACATAGCCAGACACAAAGGTGTACAATCCGGTCAAAATCTGCGGTTCTTTAAGTTCATTCACTGTAGGTTCTCTTACTTGTTCTAGTGGCTGGCAAAGGCCAACCGAGAGGGGAGAACGAATGGCTTAGGAATCGACCGGTTCCGAGCAGACTCGTGGAGCTGCAGCTTGGATTATCGTAGAATAAGAGGGGCCGCCTTAGCTTAGGAAATGACTTATAATAACTTAAAAGACAGATGCCGCCGCTGCGAGGCGAGGGAGCAACTTGTCTGGTTTTTCGGTGCACTCATTCCCCTTACGAGAATGAAATGAGGCCCCAGCTTGACTCGAGACCAAGACTCCTTACAACTCGCACCAATAGCGGCACTGAGCGGCCGGAGATTGATTGAAAAGGCAGCCCCTCTCCCCCCCTAGCCGCCTACCTACTCGTGTTCGTAGCTCGATCGGAGGTCAAGACTGTGGTCCGGCGGAAAAACAGAAGTCATCCGTATCAAGTGATACGTGAATTGCTCAGTAGTGCTTCGCCACTACCGTAGCTGGCGGAAATAGCTTAATGGTAGAGCATAGCCTTGCCAAGGCTGAGGTTGAGGGTTCAAGTCCCTCCTTCCGCTCCTGGCTTCGTCGTTTAGTGGTAACGAGTTTAGTACATAAGCCCCTTTAGAGATAGGGGCGAGCAGCAAGGCAGCCCCTTGTATAGGGTTCCAAATCTATCTTACTAATAAGAAGAAAGGGGCAAGCCAAAACCTACTCCTAACAAGTTGCTGGCTTTTCATCAGCCGTTGCGCGCTAGCGCGCTTCTCTTTTTCAACAGGCTTCTTCAAATATCCCATAAATAAAGTAGGGGCATAAGCATCGCCTCTCGATCCAATCCGTCTTTTCTGGCCTCCCCAACACACTCTTGATACGAAAGAAACCTCCCGCCATAGAGAAGAGATCTAAAGTCTGGGTCCCCTCGATCACCCTCCCTTGAACCTGAACTGGTCGAGAGAGATGAACCCGCACCACATTTTATAACCTTCGAATCGAAACCCCCAACTAGAGATGAAATTCCAGAACCTAAACAACTCAGTTGAGAGCTCCGTGACTGGAAAAAGGGAAGGTCCACCAATGATTGATAGGCCATTCCCCCCTATCCGTCTCTTGATCCCTCATTCCACTAATCCGTTGTTACTGATTCATTCAAGGCATAGACTCCCCATTTCTTTGTCTTATCTTATTAGCGCAGGTGTTCGTCAACGATGAAAGCCGCTGAACTTAAGACTCGAGTTGAGAAAGAGGGCTAGGCCCCCGGGAGGGCTTTCAGGGACTGGGGAGGGTGGATTATAGAGCTAGAGGCAAATCGAAGGTTTGTCCATCGAGATTAAAAAACCTCGACTGGGCCAGCATTGATGAAAAAATGAAAAAAAAAAAGAAAAACTTCTCCCATCGCATCATTAACCGGTGTAGGATTCAAGATCAGGTCCAGGATTCGAGTCAAATCGACCTTCCCTCTCATCTCAGGGTGAGGCAAGGAATTGTTTCAAATGTTCCTTGTTCAATATCTCGGCTGCTCAAGAAGTTGGACTAGTTGCTCCTCCGACCCGGAGTGGATTCTAGGGGAAGGGCAGAGCCTCACCTTGCAGTAGGAAAGTGTTCGTTGTTGTGACGGGTTCAAACTGGACTGAAGGGAGGAGGAATTTAATACTCCGATCTTCCTAGGGATTCATCACTGTCTAGGGCTTTCGAATCAAAGCATGGGCATCTGCTATTAAGAGGGAGCAGTAGATCGTCGATTGAAGAGCCATGCCAGTAAACTTCTATTAGGACTTCTATTGATTATGATTCGACTCTAGGGACTCCTAGCAGCAAACTTGTATAAAGGGCCCCCATAGATATGCAGGAGATGCTAGCCTGATCGATCAACAAATGATAGGCCAGAGAGATGGGTTCATTCGACTAATTAGTGATCCCTGGGCCTACCTAACACAGATGTCCCTGAAATAGGGGATTGGATTGGTTGATCGGAAAGCTCAGGCAGGAGTAGGACATTCCATACAAATCTTTCTGATCTGCTAGCTGGTGGTCCTCTCAAATCCCATTTTTTCATCGACAGGTAGGGTGAATTCTAAGGTTCCTTANAAAAAAACACTTTTACTTGATCACTGGAATCGCAAAGCTTATATTTTTTAAAATTTGACTAAATATCGGACCTATGTAAGCATTATAAAACTTTCAGATCAACCATCACAGAGTCTTCTTGTAAAGTATTTCGACATAATCCACAAGTGCTTTTGGTCGGAATAATAAGATACCTGCCGGCCACTGGCCAGTTGTCACGTTAAGAAGTATGCATATCACCAAGACCCTTCAAGGGTTAAAAAAATTATCTTCTTGGAGAAGGTTATAAGGTGATCTTGGAGGATTCCACATATTATCTGGAGTTCTTCTTTTATAAGCCTCGTCCCACTTCTTGTCAGCAGATAGAACATTTTTGGTCGTCACTTGTTAACCTTTAGAGGTTCTACTTTGGACTTAGTTGCACCATACAACAAGCTTGTAACTGCATTGTCTTCCTCTTGCTTTACATAGTGAAAGTATGGAGAAACCTTCCTAGCAGTGAGAATGATTTTAGCTTGTGACTTCAGCAATTCAAGCTTTATATCTGTTAGGTTTTAATTATGAATTGGCGATTTTGTAAACAAAATGGACTTAATTGTAAATGTTGTAAAAAGTCAAGGAGTAATGTGCAATTATATGAAAATAGGTCTATTAGGTCTAGGGTTCGAGTATGACAAAATAAGGAAAATATGGCGCGGATTTTCGCTAGACTGTCGCCATGGATTGGTTCTAGTGTAAAAAACAGAACCTCCAAAACTCGACTGTCGCCATGCCTTGTCAGTGGCTCGATTGTCGCTCAGCTCTCGTTCGAGCGACAGAGTTGTTCGAAAAATTTTTATTTCGCGATTTAAAGGCTATTTCCCTGGCCCATTATTTTTCTAACCTACCATAAATACCAAAACACAATTGAACGTGAATTTTAAGGTTGATCATTAAGAGAACTTCATCTGAGAGAATACAATTATATTCCTACTTTCAACCTTCATCTTGTGAGTTCGTTTTGATGAGAAAAAAAAATCGATTTCATAATCCAAATACCAAATTGTTCTTTCCATCACATCTGTCAAAGTTGTTGAAGATCGAGGGAAGTTGACTAGAAGTTCCAATTGTTGAAGAACGCGGTGTTCTTTATGGATCCACATGAGATAAATAATTTTACAAAGCTAGAACTTGTTGTAGGAGAGCACAATCCAGGAGAGTTTTGAAAACTGGGAGTGGTGCAGGAGTACAGAATATAGGAAAGCTGTTGGAATTGCAGTCAGGAGATCAGAAAGTACGTATCATCGTCAGGCTGGTAGACTGTAAGTTACAAATCGTTTATAGTGGATTGTTGACTAGCAAAGCGTGCAGAGTTTTTCCCGGTTGGGTTTCTCCATGATCATACCGTGTGTTGATTTACTGATTTATTTATTGTTTATATAATTTGTAGTATTCAAACATAGGATTATTTTGACATGATTGTTTAACCATCTAGAGATAAAAATTGGTGACTTGTTGCTAATTTGTTATAATTTCTTAATTCAGCATAATATACTTATTCACCCCTCTCTAGGTATTGTTAAGGTCGAATTGCGTAACTTTCAGTTTAATTGGCATCCAATTGTTTGATCACCAATCATTTCATTTAAGGACAATATTGAGATTGAGAGAAGATTTAGTTGTTTACTTCGTGAAGTAAGTGACATAAGTTTTATAAGAGATCGAAAGATGATTATAGCTTACACATGCCATATGATTGAATTCATATAATTGAAAGGTTTTATGTGTACGAATTTACATTATAGTAAAATCAGACATGTAAAAAGGGTTAGATTTGTTCAAGAGATATTACTAACAAAAATTGGCTAATTCAATTATGAATACGTATGAAAAGCAACACAATGATGTCGATTTTAATGAAAATAAAATATTCTAAGTGAAATCGAGAATTCTAACAACTTATTCCCAATAACTCTCCACTATTATGTAAATAATACTAGGTTTAGATTAGTTTAGATTTGATTATTGTCGTTACAATCCTAATTTGATTTGATAAATTTTTTCGTATAATTAGATTGAAGTTAGATTATGATAAAAATTAATAGTAAGTATTAATCTTTGCAGAAACGATACTCGGACTCATAGTTCACTTTATTATTTGTCACGACTCGCACACTTCCGATATAGTCGATTAGTTATACAAGAGTAACATCAAATTCCTCATTTTATATTTTATTGAAAAATTAACGTTTTTACAAGAATTTGTTTGTACAAAGAGTAATATATGTGCAATTGTATTACTTGTAGCATAACATGTCTATTACTCCCATTCCAAGCCAAAATACCACCTTGCTCGATACTGTTTTCTGCCATCCCCGTCGTCTTCCGTGACCATCATCCCTCCCACAACTAACAATTAGGTCGAACCTTTTTTTTTCATGGATTACATGTTATGTATGGAAAAATAAAAATAAAAATTCATATATAACATACTTCGTTACTTGTATGATAACGACAATGATTTATTTCTACAAAGTAACTCAGTATGTTGCCTTATTTTATCCAAATTGAAATCAAAGTAACACCCAAACCTAAGAAATAGTTATTGTATCCAATCACCATCCACCGCAAACAATCCCCATCATCAGCACCAACAATAGTTACCATAAGATTACCACCATCAAGCTAACCACCACTATCATATCTACTGCCTCAACATCACCACACTCAAATTTGGAATTAGGATTTAATCTACTTTTACAGAATTTTCGTCCACACCGCATAGCATTGTCCTATGAATTAAGAGGGACGTAAATCATTTATACAGTGAATGATACTATCTAACACTAGTAATGTTAGAGTATCAGTCTAAATGATTAAATTAAATGAATATTGTGACATTACATTTAAGTGAAATTGTTATTTAATGTCATGTAGTTTACCACCTAAATTGGTACTTGATGCCAGTAGTGTTAAATAATATTACTCTTTATACAATAGAAAGATGGTGGTTTTAATTAAGTAATTTC